AATCACATAAAAACTTCAGTGATTTCTTTAAAAATCTATTGATAGGATATACCAGAATAGTCGAAACTAGTACATACTTAGTACAGATAATGTAACAGTCTGATTAGCTTACCCAGTGCAATGTTCTGCCTAAGTGCGACACTAAACGTTATCTATGACATTACATTAGTTGAACACGAACCGTTTTCCGCACTTTCTTTTTTGGGATAGAAACTTTTTTCATCGTCAACAGCCAGTGTTGCTAGTTGCTACACGCGATTAGGCACAGTGTAAGAAAATTATCCAAAACGAAGTAATACTTGAGGCCACGAGGCAATGTTTCGCAAGTCTAAACTGTACTGCCTGATAATACTGTACATTGCCAACTAGGTTTTACCACAGACACGCGATCAGTCTATACTCTATATCTGTAGGTATCTAGAATTATTATGTCATATACGAATATTGGCTGTTGATTACGATTTATATAATACTCGCTACCTGCCCCGGCATCGCACGGGTAGGTATTATACATGTAAACCTTCCTCTTGAATCACTCTAACTATTGCTTAAAAATGCATTAAAAAACGTTTCGTAGTTTAAAAGATCTAAGCGAACAAGCAGCGGAAGCGAGTTCTATGTAAAGATTGTATAAAATAATATAATTTTAGATTACTAACAAGAAAATAAATGAAAAAATTTGAAATACTTCTAAGATAATGAGAATTATAATTTACAACTTTGTCTCTAATAAGGAATAGATAGGTATCGTGGACTGGTGACATGGAAATTCATTTTCACACACGTATGTATATACAATTAATAAGAGTTTGACACATTCAAGTCGTGTCAGATACATACACAACAACAGGAACAAGGTAGATATCACGAGCTCCGTAGCTCGTTATTATGGTTAATATACAATTTATCGAGCAACGTTCACGCGAGCACCAGGCCGCCCCTGGTACCCTGGCACCGACTGTCAGCTGCGACATGAACATGCGACCTTTAGAGCTATAAAGTATGTTTTATATCTGATTAACATCTATCTAGTCGTTACTAATACACAACTGAAGCTGTTTAGATTTGTCTCCTAGGAATGGAGATATATTGTTTCTTTTTGTTGTCTTATACAAATCTTGTTTATATCTTTGTAATTATGTATTATTTTCAATACCATGCGAAAATACAATATAATATTTAAATAGAAAAAAGAACTACCTACAAATAATTACATAGCCACCGATCGATTGCGCTGTTTATTTAACACACTTTAGGTAACCAATAGTTAACAAAAATGAAGATATTCACAGAACTAAAACAACCGATATAGTTAAAAAGATTAGTAAGGTGATGTCGCAAGAACCTAGCCAAATATGTTATGAATAACGAGAAAAAATTAAAATCTTTCAGAAATTAACGATGACGTATGGGGCTGAACATGGTGCAATAAAATGATCAATAAAGAATTAGCCAATATAATCCATAATTTGCCTTACTGCGTATAAGCAAGTGGAAGCGTGGGATTTAATTACTTGAGCTCCGTGGTTCGTGCAAATTAAATTGTGTCAAATGCTTGCCCCACAAAGCATTGTCTCATCGTGGGATCAAGAAAACTATGATTGTTCATCGGTAAAGTGAACTGCTGGCAAAATAGAAAATGGCGAACAATGCCGTATTATATGTTTCCCGCGCCGAACCACTCGGAACCAGACAAAGAATGATATTAACGAGTATGTTCATAACTAGCATGTAAGATTTGCAATTTTACCTCGCTAGTTAACTATACTTTCACAGCACGTGTCAGGACTTTTAATCAGCTAGAGTTGTGCTTGTAACCTTCTTAACTATAATTTCAATTATCACGTTGCAATGGCGACACGTTTCTACGGCAACAAGATTCCAGCAATCAGAAATCTATAGTTTCATAGGTTTTCCTTGGTTCGTGATACACTGTATGCATACACAAAAACCGTTGCACATCGTCCAGATTCAAAGCTTACATTGCCGCCGATGGCCGTAAAGATAAATAACTCTTAATCTTAATCTCTTGGTACCATGAGTATTAAAACGGTAGGCGACGACATCGAAATAAATATCGAATAACGTCCTTATAAAAAGAAACCTGCCCAATGAAAAACCTCCATATATTTCAGTTGGTTAAAATTTATGTTTGCTAACACTGTAATTTAACCGTAATACTTACGATTCTTTCAAATCGTTTTGTGTGGGCTACAGACAAAACAATTGACCACGTCGGGTCCACGTCTCAGTAGGCAATCAAGCAATTAAGCGAATCAAGCAATATTGCATGAAACGAGTAAGATTTACTAATGCAACATAAGCAATAATTAAATTGATATTTCTTTTAGATATAATAAAACACAGAAGGCTATCGATGTCGAAGTCATGTTATGTAAACGATGGCAGAGTTATTGCAAACAATCTGTCTCTAACAGATTGCTGAATTTATCGGTTAACCACAGGTAGATCACGTTTTTAGTTACTTGCTGTGTAATACCCATTACTACTAATCAAGCAACTGTAGAAAGGGCGAGTTTACTAATTTGACTGCTTTTTCTATATATGTGTTACATAAATTCATTGGTAGACAATTCTACATCCATTTCGATGATTCGGATTTTCAACAACAACAAGGGATTGTAAAAAAATATGTAAAGAATTTTTTTTTTTTAGGAACAATCATCAAATAATTACTACTTTCATTTTGGTTAAATCCTTCAGAACTTTCCATAATATTTGAGGTTTCAGTCATATTACATCAAGCATAAATCACACATTTATAGAAATGAATTCAACAGAGAAACTAACAAAAATTTAATACAAACAATATGGCATGCAAGGCATTTTTATGTAAAGAAACAATGTGAATGAAAACAAGATATTTTAGGTATTCATGGAGGCACAGTGTAGTGGATGGAGTGTAGTGTATAATATGTAAACGAAAAAGTATTTGCAATTAATACATTCTTATATATTGTTGTTTTGTTTACCATATAGTCAACATTAATTCAGAAATAAACTTGCAAAAATATTTCATTACTTAATATTAAAAGTAATTGTCACAGCTTAGACCATACCTTATCTTAAACAAGAACTTAAGATAATTGGTGAATTGTTTTCTTTTAGAAATTAACATTGGTGCAATTAATTAATCATTATTATTACATAGGATAAAATAAAGTCGCAGCCGCTATTTGTCTGCCCCTATTGTATGCTTAAATCTTTCAAACTATGCAACAGATTTTTTTTAATAGATAGTGATTCCAGAGAAGGTTTATATATATAATACATGTCCACCCATGCAATGCTGAGGAGAGTAGCTAATAGTCAATATAATGAAAAAGCAATTAAAAATAAAATTTCTTTCTGCTGCTGCTGTGACTGCTTAATTCTTGTTTAAATAATACATTTGCGACAGATTTAATTATGTGGTTTAGAAATATGAAAGGACTGTGAATTAAGTAAAAGTAATTTTTAATATGCTGTGAGGATATAAATTAATATATTAAGATTACCAGAAAACAATATATACCAAAAAACATAACAACAAAATTCTAGATGATGAAAGCTAAATGCTAAATTTAACATAAACATTAAATTTAACAATTACCTTCCATCATCTAATGTGTATAAATTTTATCTTTGCTTGGTACAGTACAATTTTTATAGTTTCGTAGATAAGTAAGTATATAAATAACTATATTCACTATAATATATCTATATAGAATTTAGCAAACCAAACTTATGACACAGAATTAATCCTATATGAAGGATGCTGTAATATGGGGTTTAATCATTGGAAACAAACAAACAAATAAGGACTTTGTAATTACAAATGACTACTATTAAGTATGTTAAACAGAAATTACTTAAGTATGGAGCAAATAATGCATATCCTCTCGTTCCGATAAAAATAAACATAGTTACGATTAGTCAAAAATATATGTAACCACACACCAATAACATATAAAAATAAATATTTTTATAGGTTATTGGTGAACATTTAAGTACAAAATTAATTTTAGTTATAAATATAAAGAAATGAAGAAGAAATAATTAAGAATTCAATATCAACAATTGACATTATCCCTGTCCATCCAGGAAAACAACTGTAGTGGTGTTTGTTTATTTATTACTAATATTGTGCTTTTTAGATAATGTTTATTTTTTGTTGAATAATAAATGAATTACATGCTGGGTAATATATTCATTATCAACAAATAATCCAAAATGTATAAATAATAATTAATGTTCTGAATTCAATTTTTGATCATTTACATATTGTTTATTATGTTAAAAAAAATAATGGTTGTTATATTGTACCATTGAAGGACAGGCTCACAAACCATGACATATGGTTTGTGGGCCTATAGTGGCAAATTCACTAAAAATTAACCTACCACAATGGTTTCCCGGGAGAACTGTGTGAATGTCTATTCAACATGGCATATAGCTGTCAAAGGGGTCACTTGCCCCAATAAACATGTATTTAAACAAATTGGTAATATAAGAAATTATGTTATAATTAATACTCTCCTTTTATTCAGAGGATTAAAGGAAGTCAATAAGATTGATTTAAAACCACAATAACATTGATTAATTACTTCATCAGTGAAGTAATTAGTAGTATCAAATAAATATTTTATTTTAGGTATTAAATATTAAGCTTTGCAATCAAGCCACATGATGGTCATGTAATGTTGCAAGTTCCTGTAATACATTATTAACAATATTTCCAATAAACACCTACAAAAATTAATTAAAAATATGTCAAATTATGTTATTTTCAGTGTAATAAATTATTATATACCAAAAATGAATTGTCATCATCATCATCCTTTAATCTAAAACTTAGATAGTAAACTTTAGATAAATTTGTACATGTAAATTGGATACATTTATATCTGTAATGAATATTTAAATACATAAAAGGACATACTGGTAAGGAATTTTCTGGTGTTTGTAAATAGAAGTACAAGACTAGTAATAAAACTCACCACATTGTTGTAATTGAAGGCTACAGCTCCAGGTGCGAAATACTCGGTATTCATCTTGTCCCCCATGATGACTCAATTGAACACTAATTAACTAAAGTTTCTAAATCACACACGATCATTACACATTCAATATGACTTCAAACTACATTATACACAGTAAGTTTTCAATAACATTGGATAAATTTTAAGACCGTTGGGAGCGTCCTAACCAGCATTTTAGGATCCTATCAAATCTAGGCCAGTGAAGAACACAAGTTTATGGAATAAACATGATTGATTAAAACTTTACAGTAAATACACAAATATATGTTAAATACTCATAATAGGAACACGGAGTTATTTGCTATTAATTCTTTTAAATATATTGAAGTGTTCAATTTTATTGACAATACAATTTACCTTGACACACTTCTAGTTCACAAATGTCAATCAGAACAGCCATTTTGATTCACCACAGATTATCTGATCCACAGATTAATATAACCATAGACCAAAGAAAACTAAACGAATCTACAAAATTATGATATTTTTTTAAATAGCTAATTCGTTTGTTCGCAAAAAAATTACTTCTATTAAATTTATCGTTATATAAAAACATATATAAACACTAAAATTTTCATTTAAGTTAAGTGTTCAATAAAGATAAACAAAACAAAGCAAAAGAGAAGCAATCTTTCTAGGATTACAATATAACCTATGAATAACTTGTTAAATTTCGGTGCATAAATTACGAATCCAATATTAAAAAATAAAATATAAATTCCTTGTGTTTTGAACATAATAAATTGTCTAAGTATTATCTAAGTTATTTCTGTTTGTTTCAAATCGAAGTTTGTTTGGCAGTAACAGAAATTTCAGACATGATTGATATTTGACTGATGAAAGTCATTCGGTATCTCCGAATCCGGTATTGTCATTCACGTCGGCTTGATAATATTGTTTTGTTTTTTCTGTATTTGTTTTTACATCTTGATCTTGGTACTTTTTCGTTTATCTTCGTTTCTTTATTAAATAGTTCTTACACTTGACACTTTGTTTTTAATTATTATTAATGATATATATAAATACAATATTTTAAACTTTATGTTGTAAAAGTATGCATAATTTAGAATCAGATAGTGAAGACGACCTTCCTCCTGGTTGGGAAGAAAAGTCTACCGAAGATGGAAATGTTTACTTTATCAGGTACGTAATTGGTTTTTTCACAATTTTTAGTGGCTCTGCATGAAACCACCGTACATACAATTTTACAAGTAAATCTACTAATCCTTGGAATTAGAATTGGCTTAACTGTACAATCTATACAATCCATTTGAGAGTTGTCTAAACAAACTTTTGTTGAAACAAAAACCAAATAACTATGAATATAGTTCTAGTAGATCTACTGCTGTTTGTCTCAAACAAATAACTTGGACAAAGCCACAAATATTTACTTTAATATTTCAAAATTTTGTTTTCATTTGGCATTCATTAGCCAATCTGAAATTGGATTGTTTCATCATTTAATAATTAGTGTATAAATGGAAATATAATATTAGATACTTTTTTTTGACAAGTGTGTTTGTTCTATGAATATTGTGATGATTAATGGCATTTAATAATGAATTAATGAAGCAATATATTAAATTTTTGGCTTAAACTTCTCTAATCTCATTCCTCCAAGTACTGATTTATAAATAAAAATTTAGATGATTTTTAACTTAACATACTTGTTTTAAATTAATTGTTCTTTACAATATTCAGAAGAGGAAAAATCCTTATGTATTTTAAATTAATAATTACCATCAACTTACTTACATTACTTGATGTAATTTGGAGAAAACTTAAATAAAAATAGAAAACACCTTGTTTTTGAATTTACATGTGAATTATATAAATATAACATAAACATACAAGTATTTAAACTTATAGTATATATATATATATATATATATATATATATATAAATATTATAATATTCATTGTTATTATCTAATTACAGTACTTGCTCAAAAAAAATACAGTGGACCCATCCTCGGACTGGAAAAAAGAAAGTTATACCTAAGGAACTACCGTTTGGATGGTCCAAAACTATAGATGAAACTGGTAAAACATTGTATACACAAAACAATACTGGTAACACAACTTACATAGACCCACGACTAGCTTTTGCAAAGGAAGAGAAGAAACATGTATATGACTTTAGACAGAAATATGATGGATCATCTACAGCTTATCAGGTCAGATCTATGTCATAAGTGATGTTGTTTAAGATGAATTAAACCTTACATACCCATGCAAACCTTTTATATCTGATTAGATTATTCATCTGATTTTTCAAGATAAAAGGTGGACTATGTCTATCATATCCACACATCTAATTACATTAAGATACATCCAGACTTTTAATTATGATAATGTAATAGTTATATAATGTAATAGCAGTGACTGGAACAACATGTAGAGGGAAATCATTAGACAGAAGCACAGAGGAACATGGAGTCTATTGGAGGAGGCCTATGTATTAAGATAAGCTGAAGAACTGAGGCTGTCAAATAGCAATAAACAAAAACATCATTAACTTCACTATTAGTATTAAGGCTATAGATAAATAAATAGTTATATAGATAGACATAATTTTGCATTTATGGTAATGGTATGGTTATTACATTTTTTTATTATTTTTAGATATTACATGGAGTTGATTTATCAGGAAAATGTGCATTAATAACAGGTTCAAATTCTGGTATTGGTTATGAAACTGCAAAGTCCCTAGCCAGACATGGTTGCAGTATTATATTTGCCAACCGGAACATGGAAGCTACACAAACTGCAATACAAGAGATTGTAACAGAGACTAATGCTTCAGAAGACAATTTAAAAGCTGTCCATTTGGATTTAGCATCATTACAGAGTGTGAAGAAATGTCCGCTGGCTGTAAAAACCATTTTTGAGTAAGCTTACATATTAAATAATATGATGTTGCTGTTCTAATTTGTTTTCATTTTTTTTCTATTGTCATTACTTAAAGTATATTTGAGAGAAATGTAGCTTCTGTTTAACAACATGTATTGTATACACAGTATGTTTTGTGATTTCATTCCTGTATTGTATGTTGTTGTTTTCTGCATTTAGCCTATATTGTGTTATGTATTATACATTTTTTATGTAATTGGAATGGCAAACAATTTGATAGTGAGTTGACAGGACCACTGATATTTCATTGTCATATGGTGCCTGCTGTAACTCTCAAGCATTGCATGCCTCCATATCTTGTAATGTCACTGACTTATCTCAATTACCCTTCAACTGAAACACGTACAAAGTAAAACTCAGTGACTTATCAAACTATGTTTTATTTTTCAGTCATCTTGATATTCTAATATTGAATGCTGGAGTATTTGGACTGCCATATACAGAGACAGGCGATAACTTAGAGATGATATTCCAAGTAAATCATCTTAGTCATATGTATTTAGCTCTGCTTTTGGAACCACTATTGAAGCATAGCAGTAGAGTTATTTTCGTTTCTTCTGAATCACACAGGTTGGTAGAATCTATATATTTTTAAATTTAAATTTAATTTGAAATGCTGTAACTGGCAAGTTCACATGGTCTCGAATGAAGTATGGTATGAAAAATTCTTCATTGACACATAAATATGAAACTGTTAAGTATTTACCAACATATTTAATGGTAGTTTATGTAGATGTTTTGTAATATAATGTGATTATGTATTATTAATGTAATTATGTTTTACATTTTTCAGATTTGCAAGTTTAAAAAATACATTTACAAAACAAACCATTTCAGTGACCAGAGACCAGTACAGTTCAATGATGGCTTATAATAATTCTAAATTATTCAATATTTTAACTGCAAAGGTAAGCTAAATTATTACTATGAATAAAGTATTGTTAGGTAAGGTAGGTAAGATAAGCTAAATTATTACTATGAATAAGATATGTATTTAAAATCATACAGAGGTATCTGTATTACCAAGATATATTAATTGGTTGGAATAAAAAGTAGCCTGTTCTCCATACCACATGCTAAGTTTCATGAAAATTTTAAACAATTTTCATGAAACTTAGCAATGATCAGTAATAAACCAGTAATGCTCTAATCAGGAGGTAAGAATAGGAAATAAACTCACAGTTAATTATGTATATCTAATAGACTGAATTGTAAGCAGGCATACAATAATCTCGGGTTGCAACAAGGAGATTTAAAAGTGAATTATGAAGGTAGGATTAATTTTAGTATTTAGAATTTTTACTATTTTTTATTTGTTAATGGAAACTTTTCTTTATCAAGTAAAGTTTTTTATCTTATGTTGTAGATCCTGAGTGAAGAATGGCGAAGTAAAAATGTACGTGTAAATTCGCTTCATCCAGGGAACATGGTATACACCAACCTCGGCAAGTCTTGGTGGCTGTTTAGAATGGTTTCTTTTCTTATTCGACCTTTTACTAAGTCCTTGGTAAGTATCTATATATTGCAACTAATAAACTAATACTAACAACATAAAGTAATTACTAGCAACACTAAAAGTTTTTGTAACACTAACAGAAGTTGTTCCTAAGATTAGCGTAGTCACACAACTAAACTCAGATTTATATATTAGTATGTATGTACTTGATAACGTCTATCAAATCAGACCGTTTTTTCAATCAATGGATATGATTGTTTTACGATGTATGTATGCTGATTAATACTGATGACGATATATTTTCGTCATTTTTTTATGTACTATGATGGTGACATACAAGTATACGGCCCATCTGATGGTAAACGGTTACTGTAGTCTATGCACGCCTGAAACACTATGGGTGTTACCTGCGCGTTGGGGACGCATGAGAAACCTTAATATACCCCTCTAAATAAACATTTCAGCAACAAGCATCTGCCACGTCGGTGTACGTAGCGACATCGGCAGATCTAGTCGGAGTAACCGGACTTTACTTCAACAATTGCTTCTATTGCGAGGAGTCAACCTTAGCTCGAGACAAGGACATAGCCAATGAAGTCTTCGCCATGTCACTCAAGATGATCGAAGAACGAGTGGGTTCAGATGGTATTGAGAAATATATGAATAAATATTGCCATGAAAAAACTCAAGAGATAAGGTAGTGAGTTACTATTTTTTAGCCTTAATAGAGTTTCGTATTACCTACTATGAATTGTTTACAATAATTATAGAACTCATATGTTCGGTCCTAAAAAATGTATGACTCCCAATAAGTCAATAGTACCTACGATAATAAAACAAATGAAATCTTAAGTTTTATGTACTAACTGCTATGATTGGGTAAATTAAGGAGCAGCAGATAGATAGTTTATTACTACTATTTAAATTTGCTCGATCCTCATCTCTACATTTGTATCAGTACTTATACGGGAGTCGCATACGGATCATGATTTTTATGCAATGAAAGGCGAATAAGTCCGTTATTCTTTAGTAACATGCGTCCATTTTCAGAAAGTATATAAATATCCATTTTAATGCAGAATTATATATAAGGAGGAAAGAGGATAAGAGGAATTATATATTAATAAGTTTATAAGGAAAATTATTATTGTTTAAAAATAAAGTACATTAGTTATACCAATTGTTTTAATAAATTTATAGACAAAGCAAAGGACTACATAACTATAATCACAGTAAGTTTTAGGTACTTACTAAAGACTATATCTGTGGGAAGAGGATTGTTAGTATCGAAAGTATTGTTAGCAATGTAGGCAAGTCAACTTATACGCAGTCTTCCGTAGAAACCACCACTAAGTATTAGCGATATACCTTAAAGGGATAAGTAATCTGACTTCGTGCTCATTATGATCCCCCTCATTAGTGCCTCGGCAGTGTATATCTACCATTAGCGCAGGCGGGTGCACTATTCTATTATCCATTAAAATACTATAACAGTCATGCTCTGCTTGACCAATCAATGTTATGTTTAGAATAAGGCAGATTCAACGTTCATTAGCGACAATTTTGAGGGATAACTGTAACGTATACTTTTAAAGAGTTAACCTAATCCTAAACTTGTGAGATGACAGTACTTAAGAGAGTACTGAATTCAGGTACATGTTGAAAACATTGACCTAATGTCAGACATAGGCGTACATCAGTTAAATCGATTAATCTACTATATAGTTTATAGTTTATAAAAACGATCAGTCACAATACAAATCAAGCAATTTTGAGCATAATTTATTTTATTGCATTCGTGGATTATACACGTACCTTTTCCATTATCTGTAATAAGAATTTATACAAATTGTGATTTTTAAACTCATGTATACTTTATTTTCTGCAGTGCGAATAAGCACATAATATCACAGTATGGCTATAAACATTTCTTTAATACGAAATAAATATACTAATTCTGAAACTAAAATTTTACTACTAGTACGATATAGTACCTCTAGAGTACTATCACTGGATTTCTACCTTTTATACCCCTTGTGTTACAGCCCATATAATATATTTTAAAGGTTTATCGTTCTTATATATTTTCTCTTTAGAAAACATATAAAACCTTTAAATTTGCATTGATCAATATAACGGTGCTATTTTTGTTCCTAAATAAAAATTCATAGACGAACAGAATAGGTCTTCGTAGACTTTGCAGGTGGTTTCGATCTTGGTAACAGAAATGCTAGCAGTCCACACACTGAAACAATTAAAGATGGTAAATATTAATTAACAATGTAACGTAGAACGAGAACGCAGAATCAGCGTAATGATCAACCTCATCAAAGCACGACTAAAAACGAATATCCTTTGTTGATGTTGATCATTTTGGGATCAAATGTTTAGTGGTCAAAAACCGTTTCATGTCTTTCAAATGAAATCAGTTTGGGATACCTCGGTTAGAAGGGTTTTACTTTTAATTTTTCTATACCTGGTTAATAGTGTAATTGTTGTTCTTACATATGAGTAATCCACCAAACGTGTAGAATGTCGCTTCACAAGCCGCGTTAATCATAAGACCCGCGACGTTTGTTCCAATCACTGATCCGGTTCGTCCAATCATCATTGTTAGACTGACTGCCATTCCTCTGTAATATAGATAATGAGTTTCATTTCCAAGATTTCCAAGGTCAGATTCTAATAATAATAAAAGAATCCCTTGTCAAGAACCCTTATGAAATATAGGAAGAACTATTTTTTTTTTAAGACATCAGGAAAAATTCCCTCCTCACAGCAGTACGGGTATTAGCTAATGGAGAAGATGCCTGGGCAAGAGGCTGACCCCTATGCACCAATCCTGCTATAGGAGCGTGCAGAAGTCACTCAGAATTCAACAGCTACAGTAATACTGTCCTGTCACTGCAATATGTAACTTTTCGAATCATAATATAGCTTAAGGAGCAAGCTGCTTGGCGATAGAATTACACATAGATTAGGGGTTTTTGGATAAATTACACAGACAACTTCTAAGATTCCTTTGGTGATTGTTATTGATACATTTCTATTTTTATATTCATACATAGTACTGTTATATAACGTTTTAGTGGTATTAAAACTTTTAAACATAAGAAAGAACTTACCTTAAATGAGTAGGGAATATTTGTACCGAAAAAGCATTAACGGGTCCTACACCGAGCCCAGTCAAAGTCAGCGATGATAAAAGGCCGGCGAATACAAACTGCTGGGTGACGTGGTTTACCAGTATACAGAATGTCCCAATGGTGAAGTATACCGCTATCAGTAGTAATTTCTTTCCTATTAATTTAACTAGGAGACTAATAACCACTGCTATCAAAGCGCAACTTGTACTCGATATTGAGTTTATTATAAACGTTATTGTTTCAATTGTGTCGTCGCAGTAAGCTTCATCGACATCCTGTATGATATAAAAAAAAATAAGGTATGTACTATATTCTTAACACAAAAAAATATTGGAAGACAATACAAGTTTAAATAATAGAATTTGGAGAATTTTTTTATGTAACGAATGATAAAGAAACTGTGCTGAAGAGTCCACTTGGTGAATGTAAGCCGTCGCTTTCATATATACATGAACAACAGATATCTTGATACATCTTGCCCCAATTTACTACATTTTAGCGGTTAGGTAATTGGTACGTTTGTGCGTCCGTGTATTTTAACTATGTGTGACAACTATACATTTAATAGTTGAACTTACTTTATCAACACCTTGAGAGATAATATTACATGCGGTCATCTCATTTCCACCGCTCCCGCTGAAGACACGGTTCAATACATCTGGCACCCACATGTATAGACCGTTTAGACTGAAATATACGTTTCATCTTAATATAATAAATCAGGGACAACAACGCGTTTAAATATATATTTATTCTTTTTTTTGTCAAACTATTCTAATACTGGTGGCCTGAGGGTTAGTGCAGAAGACACTTCAACCCGCAGATGGACTTACGGAGCTATTGAAGGCTGACTACTACCGGACGGCTACGACTTCAGCCTCGAAAATTTTTCACTTCACTTTTTATTCAAAATATAAAGGATATTTTGAGGCTATGCCCAAATCTATATCATGGCCGCAATTATACTAATTTACATAGGCTAATGCTTCGCTTTAGTTTTGTTAGAATAATTTTACACATTCGATATGTACGTCGTTCTATATACGTTGGAACATTCGGAAAAACGAATTATTCCTCATCTCGGTGAACTTATTTTTATTTTTCATTAATGCAGAGTTAATTAGATGTTTCTTAATTCGATTGAATTATTTTTCTGTAGTAGTACCTACCTACTAAATGTTTTGAAAATAGTATTTTATTTTATAATGTGTCTAGGATGTTTTTCTTCCAATACGTTACGGTTACTTACGATGCAAATAATCCGAAGAGCAGAAATCCATTAAGCGCTAACCATTTGTAGTATGGCGGTTTCAGTAAAGGCAATGTTTGCACTTTGAGTGATTTCATAAAACTGATGTCTTCATGTTGTTTTTCGGTGGGCATTTTTAGTCTTTTTATCTGAAAACAACAAAAAATATGTATAAGTTTATTTCCTGTGGTATTTATTCATGTCCATGGATTAGCTATTCCTAATTTTTATCATATAGGTACCTACTATAGTTATGTGTATTTTTGTAAAAGAAAACGTTAACTCGCACAAGTGTTTTACTAGGAATAATCACAGTAATACCAATATCTATTATAAGACGACACTAAATTCCTCGTTAGTGAGAAAACGCGTTGAATTCTGTGATAATGTGGCAGTAATTTTGTGAGAGTTTAATTAAAGTTACACTTTGTTATGGAATAAAAATTAAAACTATTAATGCCTGTTTCGTTCAAACGTTTTCGTATAGAACTACAAAAGATACATACTTACTGGAAACGCATCAGGCGATTTTCCTTTGTTTCCCGCGTACATCATTTGCAACACTTTCAAGGCCTCGTCGTGTTTTCCTTGAGCCACCAGATACTTAGGACTCTCAGGCCCGAAACTCAATAAGAAAGTGCATAAAAAGAAAAAACACGCGTAAACTATGCACAATAGTCTCCAAGAACGAAATTCGTACGCTCCAAAGTCCACTCTGAAATCAAGAGGCAGGATACCCCAAGCTAAAACTGAAAGTGAAATTCATGCATATAAATATATTAATTGTCAACTCGACTAAGATTCATGGATTAGAAATATATTCGGATGTGACGTCTACCAAATAAATTTTATCACATATTAAGTAGATTCCGACTGCATACAGTCTGACAATGAAAGAGTCTATAGGTGATTTTTTTAAAATCGGCCTTGATTTATATTTAGTACCTACATACATCATAAATTTAATTAAATACTTTTTTTCCTTTTTATAATGTTAGTAGACAGTACAATTTCAGCAAGATAGACAGTAATTTGGAAAATTCTTGGACCATTTCAATAGTATTAAGTAGGTATATAAGATTAACATTAAGCTGTTCCGTTTAAAATTATCACTTCTCTCCGTAATAAAAAACAACTCGAATAATTATGTTATTTAAGCAAATGTTTTTTTTTATACTTATAGATGATAAAGAATTCACTTACGTGGTACAAAACCGGATCCCATAATCTGTAATGCATTTGTAACAGACAGCGTGATATCTCTGTATTTTAGCGGCAATATTTCACCGATGTAGGAGTAAGGGACTGCCGCTGGACACGCTAAGCTAACAAATAACAAAATGAATATATTATGCAATAAATATTTTATTTCTATGTAAAACATAAAATGGAGAAATTTCAAAAATATCTTTATTTATTAACGGAGCCAGAACTCAAGGTAGCTCAAAGAAGTATAGTATATACTTCTTTGAGCTACCTTGAGTTTATTCACCGGTTGTATAATTAATTTCTTAATGAAATTAGTGAGTCAATTAAATTAACGGTAGACCGTAGTACAGCTATGTGTTACTTGACTGCATGTTTCGATATCATGTAATTTTTGGTATAATGTATCGATCTGAAGAACGTATATACGTTCTTCAGATCGATACATTATACCAAAAATAAGTCGGCCGGTCGGAAGTGGTAACGCATTCACGATTAGATATGCACATTTTCGGGAAATTATAAGGAATAATTTGTTAATTACAAAAAACTTGACATTCATAAGCGGCTAAAATGTCCTTTATGAATAAATTATTTTTTACTTTGTATTTGAATTTCATCTCTATGGATAATATTTATTTTTAATAGGCGACGTTACCCATTCTGTCCGATGATCGCCAGATATCGCCACTTCTAAGAAAGTGGTAAATTATGGACATTTTGCTTGCTTGCTTGCTTTTCAGGGTGGAGCATGTTATTTTTTCAGGAAAATGACATATCTATTTAGTAAACAATCTTGATACTCGTATATTTTTTGTTTATCAAAATAACAGTGTATAAAATTAATAAACCGAAAATAACATGTTTGTGATATTAATCTATTATTACTATATTACCTATTATTATTTTACTGCTTATTAAATTTTTTGATAATAAGAATTACCTACCTACCTAGATCGTTTGTTGAATTCGCTTCCTATAAAAACAGTTGTGTGACTATACCTAGGTATGAATTCAAAGATATTCCTCTTACCAAAGCGCACTGAGAGCTTTACATATAGTAAAACTGATAATTTCAGGCATAAACGCTGATAGAACACTGAAACTGCCGACTCCCAAAGAACTGTAAATTATCATTTTTTTTCGGCCTCGCGTGTCAACCAGGTAGCCCCACGGAAATGAAGCTATAACAACGCCTGTAAATAAAAACAGATTTTTTTTTTAAATATAGATTTCTAAGATGCAATTTGGGCTCCCACCCTTTAAACATTAAACTATGTAAAAAGCAATAAAAAATCTAACAAAATCTCGTACATTAGCTCAATTCTGCACTCAAACTCGTACATCAAAATATTTTAATCGATTATCGTAACTAATTACTTTTATTATCGTAAATAATCTTGAACAAACTTGTTGTGACTTTGCTATGTAAAATTTGTGGACTAAATAACTAGTGAGGACCGTAGACACCTACACTGGTAGTATTTTATAACAATGTAGGTACCTACTATGTATTTTCTATTGCGATTTATTATTATTTCGTGAACTTCGTGACCCAGTGGTAACTATCTCAAGTTGTGGTCAGGTCGCCGCCGTCTACATTTACAATATCTCTTGATATCCAATGAGAAATTAAACACAACAAAAAAAAAAAAAAAATATATTAAAAAAAAACTATCCCTTCTGTGGTAACAGTCTTAAAGGTATATTATTCAGTATTTACAAGAATAAGGTCAAATTAGTTCGATCCAGATAGATACATTTTATCAGAGAAGACCTCAAAGTTTAAAGGGGAGAAATATATTTTATTATTAGAAATTGTTTTATTATTAATGTAAGTACAATGTTCCATAAATTATATTCACCGATATATATTGAATATAAACCCAAACGTTCTTTAATAGGGTTTGGCACGGAATTGCGTTAACTCTTTAACGTTACATATTGATTATTCAGTACCTACGTCATTATCATTGTCATGTCCTCTCGGTAGAACATTCACGATACTTCGAAGAATATCAATTGTATTTGCAAATAGGTCAAACACAATTGATACTAAGTAAACCATTTACTCTGCGTGTCTCTATAAACCCTGGACGAAGCAATAAAGATCTCTGTTGACGTAACTGTATTAATTATGATGGACTCAAACGCCTTCAATAGGTAATATAGTACTTATCTATAATTATATTTCAGATCAACATTCATAAAATTCTAATCGAACTCCGTAGTAAGTTCGTCCAATTTTTCGATTATCTGTGTCACTACTACGTGTTCTATGAGTAAATGTAGATTATAATAAAAGTAATATATAAGCACAAATAAGATAATATGCTATAATATATTATATTGTCTCCCTAATTGCTTTCTAAAAAATATTTTATTATGAGTGATCCAACTGAAAATTAGCGTTGGAAACTGTTTCCACAATGATGCTGAGTTGTGGTCCACATTGTGTCTGTTTGTTAATGTGTGTTTAACAACAAGTTTGATGTTGGTATTTTTATGTCATTATTGTTGTGCCAAGACTATAGACAAGAGTCAATAAAACTATATTCTATTCGCGCTAGCGGCTTTACTAGCTATGTATGTTGAAGCGGTTTTAATGATAAAATATGTGAGTAAGTATTTCTGATGACTAAATTGTTATGCTTTCATATAAAGTGAAATTACAGGATGTGGAAGTATAACAACTTAGTCCTCATGAATACCAACCAATGCGTGGGACATTTAATCTTGTTCATGTATGTAGGTGTTTATCACTTTCCATAAGGTACCCGTCTACTTGTTTACCATTTCAGTTACCTAAATAAAATAATAATAGTAGGTATATAAAGATTTTCTCAATGAAGCATATAAATAATAAATAAATAACTCTAGACAATTAAGTAAGTAGAGCTTGTGTTAAGACAACATAGAAAACAACCAGACCCGTACCATTTGTATTCATGAGTATGTTACTTATGAATACAAATATTTGGACCGCGCTAGGAATCGGAACCCGCAACCATCGTAAGTAAAGCGGTTTGCTAAACTGCTAGAACACTGAGTCCGTCATATATATAACATATATACCATATACATATTATGTAACTTTAGTCATGGTGTGTGTGGCGAAAATTTGTTGTTACCATTATGAAAGTTGTAAACTACAGTTAATCAAATTTAATTTCTCTTACCTAGATATGGGATTGATGAGATTATTCCTCTCTGAGAATCTGACATATCTAAATCACATTTGGCAGCTGGCAGCAGGTAGGCGTAACCATTCGGTTCCACGATGGCGGAGATTAAAAATAGTGCCAGTATTAAACAGTATCTTAAGTTGTACCAACCAAAACCTGAAAGTAACATGAAATGATAATTTTATGTTTTGTTATCTATACTAATACTAATATTATAAAGCTAAAGAGTTTGTTTGAATGGTCTAATCTCAGGAGCTACTGGCTCGAATTGAAAAATTATTTTTGTGTTGGAGTCCACTTGTCGAGGAAGGCTTTGAGCAAGATAGCATTACGCTACGACCAATAGGAGCGGAGCTGCAATGAATAATATTGCAAAAGATGGGAAAGTGAAACGCAGACGAAGTTGCGCAGGTCATTAGTAGAAAATAATCATAATTGATACACTGACTTTTTAAATACCAGAACAATCCATACAGAGCAATCTAGCCCCAAACTAAGCAGATTTTGAACTATGGGTACTTAATCATTTATACGCACAAAAATATTAAATAGGTACTTTTTTTCTAAATACACACATAATGTATATGAAAATACGTAGACAATATTTAATCATACTCATAAATATAAATGTTTGTGCATGTAAGAATTAAAAACGGAAGTAAGCTAATATCTATTATACTGAAACATTTACTTTGATTCTATTTATAAAGAGATTCTAAAAAGGCAGAATAAAATATAAAGAAAATTAATTAAAACTCCAGTAATCTCTCATTTAAAATATATAGAAATTGTAAGTTGAGGAAAACGAATTTTAATTCACTGTAGGTACTTTAATTGCTCTCTGGGCCTCGAATATTTTTAGGGTTCCTCAATAAAAATTATCTTTAAAAAATTTTTAAACCTATTTTGTCAAATGTTTTAAGATTGCTCAGTTATAATTAATTATTTTTACTTAAGTTTACTTAAGTCACGTAGTTCATTTTGATTGATAAGATAATTGATATGTATTACGCGAATGTTATAAAGATTACTATAAAATTTATTACATTAGTCAATATAATGTATCAGTGTATCGATTTTATCTGACTTAGTAATGTATGGTACATTCTAAGTCTTCTTAAATTATTAATTATATAATTTAAACTTTTAATTATTTAATATATCTAATTGATGATTATATTTTTCACAAGTAATTGAATAATTAATAAAATATACATACATGATGTCGTTTATTCTTATAAATATATATAAGCATTGTGGGTTTCTTAAATGAATGCCGTTAATATTAATTCATTTTAAGTTAAATAGACTAAGAGATGCGTATGATAACGTGGTATGTGTATGATAGTCTCATAACCCCTAAGATAACGGCATCACACAGCTAACCGCGTTAAACGAGTAGGAACTGATTTAAGTTAGGAGTTCTTATTGTACCTACAGTACCTATATAATATTATTTGTAATAAGAACTTAGTAAGTTTGCGTTAAATATTTTTATAAATGATAAATGTTTTTTTTAATATGCGTAGTATTCCATAGCATAATAAACGTGTAATAAAAGATAAAGTGAGTGTATAAATGTGAGATTAAATGATGACGAAACCATACGCCGGTAATGTGTGAGATCTATATAATCACATAGGTACTATTATTTTTATATATGATAAGGAAATAACCTACCACTGTATTAGACGCAATGAGACGACATTGCGCCAATTGGTAATATTCATTGGCGGTTTTGGTAGTCTAGCGATTTACCACATAGCTTTACTTCCGATGGTTGCGGGTTCGATTCCTTGCACGGTACAAATGTTTATATTACATATGTATTTACAAAAAAATCTATGTATTTATATCAGTTGTCTAAAACCCATAACACAAGCTCTGCTTAGCTTGGGACTACATAGCGCTATGTGAATTGTCCTGAGCTATATTGTAATTACCCAGGTAGGTTTTGTATAAAATAGTCTGCGTGCATATATCTGTCTCGCCAATTTGAATCGCTAAGCAACTTGCTTCGCAGGATGCATATCGGTATATAAGGCAGTGAAATTAGAGGATACTGAGACATGATATCATTGTCCTCCGGAAAGGTAAAGCATGAGAGTATCGCAGAAGTCATATGATAACCTCACGTCCATGGTGCTACTCTTATATAGGTACCTATAGGCAACGGTTACCACTTGCCATCAGGTAGGATTACAATCAATTAGTTAAAGAAAAATGCTAATGTACGCCATCGACCCAAAGGGAATATAGGAAAATTTATAGAAAATAAGGAAAAATAAGGAGAACATTTTTTTTCATAGCGAATTCATAGGTTGAACAATAATGTTGCTGGATTATATTGGTGCAAATCTACGAATTTAGCTACTATGCGTATGAATATAATACTGTATATATTATATTCATTAGACGATTATGGAAAAAAGTATCTGTAAACTTTGAAAGCAAATCGCGAGAATTTATGAAAAATATGGCGACAGACTCTACCATGTTTTGTTGCTTAGTAGTTACTCTCCTATACGTTCCTGGTTAATGGAAAGATTCATAAAAAATATGCCAAAGTGCCTATTACGTTAATTATCTGTCGCCATATATTCATTAGTAGTCTACATTGCCACTTCTTCTGGGCAAACACGATATCAATGTCATGAACAGATAAAGTGAAATTTATGATCAACTACCAGTTTCCCAGGTCTTTATTCGCGCGGAACTGCGGATTTTTTCTTAATTTATTGTTTCTACTTATTTAATTTGATACTCTATCTATCAGTTAATTCGATCATAGGTAATGGAATAAACATAATATCTCAGCTTATGATATAGGTAGCTACCTATATTTCTTAAACTTTTGAGATTTTGTTTACTTAAATTAAACAAGCACACAGCCCATCATATGATAAACTTCAACCATAGCCTATGGATGCCTGAAAAACCAGGTGTCACGGTCACATTGTCGACTCTTAAGAATGCTTAATATAGCCTATTTAAAAATAATCGATATTACCCTTTTAATTTTACTTAGTAGATAGCTTATGTAGAATATTTATTTTCACTAGAGGCTTCACGCTCATCTCTATATCATGTCTACATATAATGTACATTTGAAGACATGTAAATATAATGAAAACGTTTTAAGAGTAATTTGAAAGAACTAATATCTATAGTTTTAATTGTAAATAGTTAACAAAATCTGCAAATTTTGATGTAAACTCACTTTTATATTAAAAATTTAAAAGTGAATTTACATACATGAAAATGTTTCTTAATTTTAGCAGGTATCTAATAATATTGTTAGGTTTTTCAAAGTTCAATCATGTACTTACCAACAACTGACAGTGCTTGATCCAAATCAACTGAATATTCACTATTAACGTCCACTTTTTGAGATATTGTATTAACTTTTTCCATTTTAAATAATAATATAATATAATTAAATTGATCACTGTAGAAAAATATGTATATATAGCGCACTATAGTTTATCACTTATCAAGTAGGAATAACGGTTTAATTAACGCAAATTGCTTTGTAAATGGTGTTTTATATCTTCAGCAATTTATTATCAACTCGTGTAAAAAACACGACCGATTTATTCGAGTGATACAGTTTGAAAGCACAATAATTACAAGAACCTCTTGTACAAGACGATATAGTCACTACACTGTGGTCGTCTACCTCGATTAGAGTTTGTTGTCGTATGTGATATACTCGTACATCTTGTGGCGTTCTCTTCGTTTTGTCATGATCTCCGTTTCAATCAATTCAATTTAGTATATTATAGTAGACTGTAGAGTGTATAAAAGATTATTTGACTTGCATATTTTTATTCCCTTTAAAAGTATGTTCTGCTGGCAACCGTATACCACAAATTCCTTTAATATTTTTGTATAATTTTAAATGTATATTTTTATATCCACTTTTACATATCATGTTTTGATGATCATGTGATATATATACTAAAACGACGTATTTCCATTAATTTTGGAGCTACTCAGTTCATCGATTCGTTACAAGTAGTTGTTATAATTTTCATACACCACCATATCTCTTGTAACATCCACATCGTTTATTGTTAATTAATTTTATTGCTTTACTTCCTTTTATTGTTAAATTATCTTTTATCCAGAATTGTTGTCTTGCTAACTCATCAATTTTTTCTTTTAAATCTTTAATTACATTTTGCAGCGGAACTAATTGTAAATCATATATTAATGACAGAGTTTCCTGCAGTGATTCGATGTCTGCAATTTAAAAATATTTAATACTTCAGTAACTCAAAACAAAATAGCGGTTAATTATTACTCTCTACAAAAAGAATATGGCATTATTATTTATAATAACAACATTTGTTAATCATTTATTAATGAGTAAGTAAAACAGTTGTTAACAGCATTGAATAGATAAATACTTAATATAAGTGGACCAATATTATGAAGAAAAAAATGTTTTTTTGTAATAAATACACCTAACTACTTTTAAATAATTTATAGGTATATTTTAGTTTTATTAAAAAAATATATTAGAATTAGAGAATCCTGCAATAATTGCACTGCGCAAAGACAGGAGCAAATTATTACTTATGAATATGGTGAATCCCTAGGCTGATAGTACAATTTTAATATATTGTCTATAACCAATTTCTACAATAACAATACATAGGTAGTTACTATGCACCTAGGTATTTATAATATTATACTAACTAATATAAACTACAGAGTAGTAATTTAATTGTATTCTTTTAAATAAATGTTTATTTGTCTATATTGTATTTACGATTAAAAGAGTGGTAGGTAAAATTATTTTATAATTTTATTCAAAGATAAAAAAGGAAATATCTGCATTGACTTTAGCACTGACCTCTTCATTAAGACATTGACTTATGGTACTGTTATCAAATAGTATACCTTATTGTGTTTAGAGTTTTTATTTGATTATATATAATATGATTGTTAATAAGTAATAACCCCATTGCTGGCACTGTTGACTTCCATGTGGTTTCCCCTGGAAACCATTGTGATAAATTCCTGGTGAATTTACCATGATAGGCTAACTGACCTAACTAACTTAATGATAATTTATTATTCCTCAGTAGTACCGCGCCAACGTAAACCATTAGCGAAGGCTGGCCATTCCATTTTATCATCCGTAAAAAAAAATAAAAGAATGTAAGCTATTTGAATCTTGACAAAATTAGTACCTATAAATAGGACATCAATAGAATGATTGGATTCGAAATTGGGAAAGATATCGCATAAAAATTATTTTATAATAGTTTGTATTATTGACAACCGTCTACAAAAATTGTACTGAATATAAAATAATCATCAGTATAAAACATCAAAATCCGATCAGTAGTTCGCAAAAACTATTGAACGGATTTTGACGAAACTTTACAGTAATATAGCTTAGTTTAAAATAAATTGAAAAAGCTTTTATATTCTGCTTTTACTTTTACAACTGTTATCAGCTGTAACTATTATTTAATAAATAAATACGAAATAATATTAAAGTGTGACTGAGTGAGACTAGGGACTGGAACCAGGCATGAGGCTTATATTTTAGTAGATCAGTAGGTGCTTACCCTTTGTTAGGTGTATTTGTACATGATAATCTAATTCAGTTTTCGATAAAAATAACGATTGTGGTGTTAACTATTTAGTTATCTATGTAACACTGACTAGATTATAAAATATAGATATATTAATAATTTGTATCTGATCCGATTAATGTCCTTATTATCCGTCTTTAAAATCCTAAGCATCATTGTAACTTACCCTCATTTAATTTCATTGATAACACATCCTGTGCTCTTTCTGTATGGGTAGACTCATTTCTTTGCGCTGTACCGGGGCCAAAGGTACTAGTTTTTAACCGTATGGAGATATAGTATTTGGAGTCTATTGGAATTTTTATTTCATTCCCATTAGATTTCATTCCACATTTTATTAATGTGATATTATCTTCTGGTCTTTTCCCATTTAATCTAGATTCATCCAAAGATATTAGTATTCTTTCCCTGTTTTTACTTTCATATAATTGGAAAGCAAAATTAACATGAATTTCGGAAGACTTCTTTAGCATCTGACTTTTTTGAGGTGATATTGGCAAAGATGCATTAACAGAACTTTCGAATTTAGTGCCATTTTTGTTAAAAGCTGCTTCTTTCTTGTATTTACTTTTGTCTAATTCTGTAAAGCCGTTGATTAATGAGGTGGCTGTTGTCTGAAAATGATTGGCATTTTCTTGTTTAACATCAGAATAATTTAATGTATCATCCTTTTCTACTTGTTTTGGTAATTCGGGCTGTGAGCCATATTTATTAACAGCATTACTATTTTTATTGGAAACTTTTATATAATTTTCATATTTTTTGTTCATGCTGAAATCATTCTTATGGATATGATCTGTAGGAATTGATGGAAAATTATATTCTGTATTGCTGATATCGAAATTATCATGTATTATATTTCTAAATATTTCATTAATGTTATGATGAGTTATTCTAATGCTGTTATTTTTAGACACATTATTAATTTTTGTCTTGGATTGAATATCTATTTCACATAATTGTTTAACATTTGCAGCTTTGGTGTCAATATCGTCAAAATTTGACGTCGATGACGATTGTGATAATTTAATATGTTGTTCTACGATCTTACTCTTCTCAGCTTCACTATTTATGTATAGAGTGTTTTGTAAATGGTCTTCATGGAAAGGAACTGACTTTACACTAGAAAAAGATTTTTTTAACGTAGTACTAGAAATTAATTCAAAGTTATTTAAATCTGAAGTATTTACGTTAACTGTATCATTAATATTCTGAGTCGCACCATTTATAACTGTGTTTTGTTGTACTAATGAATTTGAATCTTTTAAATGTATTTTGTCATTCATTACTTTGTCATCTCTATTATTTTTTGGACTTATTTCTTGAATTGTATCTGTTGTGTTTTCTAACATGTTTTTAAAATATTTAATATTTATTTCATATTGATCGGTCGTTGGTGCTTGATCTTGATTAGATAAAATTTTTTGTATATTTATAATTGAATTTCGTGGCTTTATATAAATTTCATTGAACTTTCCTTCGAAAGAATGTTTTAAATGTTTTCTGTCATTCGTTAATTCATTCTTATTACTTTTTTTTATTTCTGTAGTTATATCTGGTGACTTCTCAAACATGATTTTCTCATCTTTATCATTTCCTTGGGATTTGTAATTATTTTGCACAGGATTAGTAACATTTGATGGAATTATTTGACTATATTCTATAATATTCAGTTGATCTGTATAGATTTCGTTTAATTGTGATTCTTTGGAAGGTTTTATGTCATTTGTTAACTCATTGTTATAATTACTTTGACTTATTTCTACACTTGCGCCTGGTGACTTTTCAAACATGTTTTTCTCCTTTTTATTACATTCTTGGGATTTGTAACTATCTTGTACATTAAGTAATTTTGTTTGGCTTTCTATAATTATGTTACGAGGTGCTCTATAAATTTCTTCTAAATTTATATTTTCTAAAAAATTTGCGTTACTTATTCTCTCTTTTTTATTATTGCTTGTATCTGATGATTTCTTTTCAATCATGTTTTCTACCTCTTTAATGTTTAATTGAGATATGTAATTACCTTTTAATTGACTAATAAGTTTAGGTGACATTATTTGATTATCTACTATTATAGTCTGTTGATCGATAAAAATTTCTTTTAGTTTTGAATCGTCAGAATGTTTCTGGTTGTTTGTGAATTCGTCATTTTTATTTGTACTTTGAATTCGGTTTTGATCTTTAGATGTGTCTGGTGAGATTTCAAACATGGTATCTATTTCTTTATTATCTACTTGATATATGTCATTATCTCGATCTGCAAGGTTTTGTAAAATTACTTCACCCTCCACAATTACATTATTATGTTCTTCCATGTAAATTTCTTTTAGTTTCGAATCTTTGAAATGGTTTTTGTCATTAGTTAACTCTTCATTTTTCTTATTACCTTGAATTAGTTCTTTACACGTGTCTGGTGACTTTTCTAAGATGTTTTTAACTTCTTCATTATTTAATTGAAATGTATATTTTTCTTGTACTTGATTTATAACATAGGGAGAAATTACTTGACTGTCTATAATAGTACTTTGTTGTTCTCTATAAATTTCTTTTAATTTTATATCTTTTAAATATTTTTTGTTATTCTTTAAGTCGTTGTTTTTATTATTACTTTGAATTATTTCTTTACATATATGTACTGACATTTCAGACATGTGAACGACATCTTCTTTATTTATTTGTACTTGATTTATAAGATTAGGTAACTGGTTTATGTCTTTGATTGCGTCTGCTATTTTTTCTTGTATTTCTTTATTATTTTTTTGAGTATGCATTTGGTTTGTAATGTTAGACACAATCAACTGAGTATCTGATTTTGTAATATAAGATTTTTTATCAATTATAGTAATTGTGTTGGATTTAATGTTTTCGGATAATGCCAATGATTCATTATATGTATTTGTAATAGTTTCAACAACAGTATTTTTATACATATCATCTTTTTTTCTTTGGTCGACAACACATAAATTGATTTCATTGGCTATACCTGTTTGCATAGTGTCATTATAGATTTCTAGAGGTTTGACGAAATTTGTGGAGTTTTGACAGAGCTCTGTTTGTATTTTAACATTAGAGACTATTGTTTCACTAAGCCGCTTATTGGAAAGGTTTGTAATGGAAGCGTCATTATTGATTTCGTTATTTTTTGTTCTTATTGGTGGAATGAAATAAGTCTCAGTAAATTCATTGTAAGATTTTCTTGATATATTTCCACAAGGTTTATTTCTTTCATTAAGATATTTTTCGTTTATATTTTCACTGGAGAACACAGTAGGTGGGTAAGTTATAATAGAATCTGAATACTTTGAATCTATTGAATTTTTCATAAATTGTGCTTGATATAAGCTTAAAATACTCAAGACACTAGTTTTATTCCCAACAGTATCTGATAGTTTGTTAATACAAATATCATTTTGACGGACATTTTCTTCCTTAGTTCTATTTATAATAGATTTTTTTTTATCATTTGGTTTAGTTTGGTTAATTTTAAGTTCATTACATTCCTTCGAACTAGAAAATAATCGTTTGTTTTTGGGTCCATATGAATATTTATCTTCACCAAATGGTGGGTCTAAGCATCCTCCTTAAAACATAACAAAATAAAAATATTATTTTATTTCAAAGAATAGTAATAGTATTGTCATGATAAAAATTTTAAAAATACGTACCGCCCTTACATTTTCCAAAGTAGTTACGCTGACCTTTCTTGCTAAACCGTGTCGGATTAGTATTGTTATTTTCTTCTATATTCCGTTTTCCTATGTTAGTGCTTTGTTTTATTACATTATCCGATCTACTTATATTATTAGTATCGTTTGACGATTTAGCAGTATGAGTAGATTTTTTTATGTATGGATAGTCATCCTGATCATATTCAGTACTGAAGCATCCGCCTAAAAGATAAAAATAACTAATTCTTATTAGTTACAAAAGTAAAAATAATCTTTTGCAATGATTGACATACCAAAGAACTGATGACGATTTTTTTTCTTTACTTTTCTTGTATATTTCTGTTCTATATCAGCTTCCACAAGCATATCAAATGACATTACAGTTCGATCACTACTGATTAGACGAATTCTTTTTGGAACAACTCCGGGCTGATTGAATTTAGGCACAGACAGTATACCTTCTTGTATTGCACTCTTGTTTTTCTTTCGTACTTTAATTTTAATATCAAGAGGAGTGACCCATGATGTAGTACTTATACATTCCAATACATTATTTTGCGGCGTTGCTTCTACTTTAAATACAAGGTTCTGAACAATACTTTGAACTACAGAGCTGCTGTCCATGTCTCTAAAATATTTAATAAAAATATTATATTGCGTAAAGTCTGATTTGGTTATATATTAAAATAGTAATTGTCTATAAAAAATACAAATCTTCACAATAAAATCAGAATTATTTTTCTATACCTACTAAATTATGCGATAATTACTATAAAATAAATTAATACACTCACACATTATAATAAAATTCTTTAAACATGTTAAAATATAGTGAACATTCATCACAGTACTCAAACTAATTCATTACTTTTTGTTATAACCAAAATTGGCGGCTTATAAAGGATAAACAGGTTTGATAGGAAATATGGAGGTATATTATAGGTAATATAGTAGTTGTCACTATTTCATAATCTTATTCCGTTTCTCTCACCAAGCACATCAAGCAGTTGTAAGTTTTTATTTCAAATTTTCCTTCTCTTACATAGATGTTGTCTATTGTTCTTGTTTGATCAGTTAATATAAGTCTATGAGAGTGAAAAGGAGTGGTGACGTAATGTATACATACTTATTCTATCCCTATATCAACAAATCTTACAGATTATATGTGTATTTGAAGCACAATGTAGAAGTATTTAGAAAAGCAAAATGTCATGAAGACTAACAAACAAGAAATAGCCTAGAATTCATATTTAGAACTGAAGTAATTTAGACTGATTTCGTAATTAAGGTGAAATTTACTTATGTGACTATTACATAGGTATAACAAAAGTAAATGATATTATAGTAGTCTTTTCTATCCTTTTTTGTCTGTGTAACTTTTAGAGTGACTAAATGGTCACATCAGATTATCAGTTAATTAAACATAGAATCTTCAGTCTTCATCTTCATAATTTGTTTCATAAAAATCTACATCATTGGTGACGAAATTAATAGCTGACAAATACGTTAATCAGCACATTTTATACAGATTGTGAATTTAATCATTAAAGATATTGTGAATCTAATATAAATAACGCCTATTATAAATCTTAAAGAATATCTTACTTTTTTAAATCGAACGTAAACGGCAAGATGGTAAATGATATCGAGCACAATACAACTACATAGGCCGAGGTTTAAACTATAATCTTCACTATATCTGATCCAGAGATCCAGAGCAGTATAAGAAAGTATGGCAGGATTGTATTAGTAAACTTAGAAAATTAAAATAGACATACGAAGTTTATTGTTTTATTAAAAAATAGATAAATAAAAATGACTGCACATAAATATTTTTATTCGTCAAAAACGATCGAATAAACTACCCGATTAGATCTTACTTTTTTTTCTGTTGATATTTTTTTGGGTACTTGGATGCTAAAAGTCGATAACGTATTGTAAAACAATGGATACGTTTTCTTTCTCTCTCTCGAAGTAATGCCTAATGATTTACATTTCTTTATCATATCATTAAGCACTATTTTCAGGGGCAGAATTTCATGTTCCAGTATTTGCATATAATTGGCAATTTGAACTTCAGGTGAAATTCTTTTATATTCACTGTGGAGTAACTTATATACATGTATATTACTATTGACTTTAAAGAAATTCGAATATTTGTTCCATTTATTGAGTATATTTCCAATGCTTTCCGAAGAAGCTACATATTTTAATGATTCTTTTACAGGTAATACAATATAATTTGAAGTTTTACTTCTGATAGTACTTTCATTTTTTGTATCGATAGAGCAGATAGGGCTGAAACTAAGTTTACACATGAATTCTTTATTTCCATTACTTCCTTCTGGTGGTATGTATTCCACAATATGTGAACAAAGGTTTGTATTGATTCTCTTATTATGTAATAGATGACTTATGTCTGTGTTAGTAATTCTGTCAGTTAAACCAATAGCACTACAATTAAAATCATAACAAATGTGGGAAGCTTGCGAGCTTTCATCTTTTAATTCTAAAACAAAAAATAAATAAAATATAACTGATCATGATAACATTAAAAAGAACCCAATGCGGCAGTTATTAAACAATTCTATTCACCTTGTATTTTATTCTTCTTTTCAGATATTTTGTATCCACTTTCAATATGTTTTATTGAATTCCTCTCTAATACTTCTATATCATTTTTTAATAGTGCGGGTTGTCCCACCTTTAGTGGATTCTTTAAGTGAATATATTTATTTGCAACAATTTTATCGCATTTCTTTAAACTTGTTGATATTTTGTTTAAGATGTAGTTATCGCTTATAATTCTAGTAACATCTCCAGATCCCAGTTCATCCACATTAGTCAGGGATGACGGTAGTAACAAATCGACACAGGAGTAATATATTCGTTGCAAATCATTTACTTTATCTATTTTGATTTGTTTATTTTTTAATATTACCTTATAAGTCATTGGTATTGTATATTCAATTGTACCATCACCAGACTTCCACTGTAATTTATCTAAGTTTTGTAAATAAGATATTTCTGGTACGATTTCTAAACAGCATTTGGAGTTACTATTTTTACTTATGTTCTTTATAAGTGGCGTAAAACGTATACGGATACAAGCAGTTTCCATTATACGTATAAATTTTAATAATAATAAAAAATATATAATTCAATTAATCTGAAAAAAAAATTGCTAAACATTTACACTCAGCCTCTAATCTTACAGTGTTACAGGAGGACTATTGAGAGTCTTACATTTTGAGCCAATTAGCCAAATAATTGAGCCGTAGAGAACCTATGTTTAATTTATGGACTGCAGAAAACAATAGAGTGAGAGATTGTTAGTACGAGATGAGTCCAGCTTACTAGTAATCCCATCGTATTTACAGAGATGTCTTCATTCTACATCATTGGGTGAAGATATAGAAACTCTTGCTTATGATTTTATAAAAATACGAACCTTGCTATTGATAAAGATGACGAACATGTGAGTATTACGGTGTACGTATAATTTAGATCAATCAACACATTTTGGATATTAAAGAAACCCTAAAATTTTGTACCAAGAGTCGCCATTCCGGTTGCTTTGACGTAAAACATCAGATACTCTTTTTTTTCTTTTGAACCTTTTGTGTATATTTTATAAAAAGTTTACACATATAAAATATTGGTCAAGAGTGACCAATATTTTTATATATTTATAAAAATGACTCTTCATTATTATCAATATTTTAGTATAAATTTGTCGTTTAAATTATTATTGTTATTTTTCTTTTCTAATATATTATTCATCATGCTTTAATATTTGAAATTTGCTTACATATATGGCAAATAGAAAAATAATAACAACTAAAGAGGCCGCCGAAATCGCAATATATTGCTGATTTTCAAAGGTAGATTAGAGACAAATGTTGTTTGGCATGTAATTCATCAGTAACTATGGATGGATTAGTGTATTTAAATGGCTTATAATTATAAATTAAACTCACGAAATGGATTATTTGCTTTTATTCTCAAAACTCTAACTACTTTACAATACTTAGGTACACAACGCACATTTTTTTATATATTTATACAAATTTTTGTTTCAATAACAGATATGCAAGAAAGTTATTGCTCCTAATATTATTGACTAGAACACACAAAAAATTATGTACAAATAATATTTTACGTCGTACAAAATGTCTTTTACTTGGGAAATAAATATAATCACAGTTATGTCGTCGTTTAAAAATATCCAAATAATTTGTATTTTTACTAACATTCTCTTAAACAACCTTATAATAATTCCAGTACAATATTATTATTTACAATAATTTCCTTATGAATTGTGTCTCTTTAAACTCTTATTTTATCAATTAATTATTATTATACTATTTTATATCTATCTACATACTATAATTTATAGATGCTCCTTTAATATCTTACTTATTTACAAATGCATCTTTTTATTAGAATATAGTTGATATATACTAAGATATTTCCTTCATTATAATGCAAAAGATCTACACTTATTTATACACAGTTGAGCGTATTGTCATAATTACGCATCTATATTCTACGACTAGAATGTGAGATCAATTTGAAAGCCAATTTGTTACTTTTTACATTAATACTTAAACGACCGATAAATTATTATTAATTATGCGTATACAATAATATACAGAAATAACGTGTAAAAAAACAGACACCATGAGTTTTGTGTAGGTATATATCTAATGAGGAATATATATTTTATTGTTTTTAAAATTGTTTTGTCATCATCTTTGGCGCAGAAGATGATAAAAGCTTAGCAAAGAACGAAAACTTGCAACTTTTAAAAATTACTGCATAATTTCTCTTTTAATCAATATGAATAGAAGACATACAATTTTCAATCAATGAAAAATAAGGAGAAAAGAAGCACTGTATCGCCTGCATACCTTTTTTTAAATGGTCTTTGATGGAATGGTGCAACCACCTGTGCTAAATATATACCTACTGGCACTGGCGGAGTCCCATGGAAGAACGATAGGATGAGTATGAAGTCAAGTAGTCGTTATAAATAATTTAATTAGTTTTGTTTGTCCTATGTCAATACTACACTACACAACAGTAATGTTTGGTCCATCCATATTATGTATATTCACTATTACACTTTTATACTCTTATAATTTCTCTTGTTATATAGAATTTTTATTTTTTAGTGAAATTCGGTGTACTGTCACTAAAATTCTATGATACATCATATATCTAAGACAAATCTCAGTATACTGTAGTGAGTTATTTCCACATCATATTTTGCGTACTACAATTTGTAAATTGTACTCAGCGTAAGTTATATTACAGATATCGTGTATTATCTCTCTATCCATTTATTTATTTACATTCCGGAATAGTTACTTGAACCTAATTTGTGCGTGGAATATTTAATAAAAAATTGTAAGTATAATGTGTAGAAACTGAATAGTAGTATTAATATATTACGATAACAGATAACGAATAGACAAACTCAGAGATAGAGCAACAGACAGGCGGAAATTCCAATAAATTATAACCTACAGTGTATAGTGTATTATATAATACACTAGTTCGTTCTGTAAAATTATCCTGCAACATACACTTTACTGTTTTCTTATGTATATAAAAGTATGATAATAAACAGTTAAATCAAACTTATACAAAACGATTATTTTTTAAAATATATGTTTAATAGGTACATGTAGGTATACAAGAGGTATAAGATGCCAGTAATGAACTATGTATTATATTATGATACTCAAATGTTATCAGGCATGCACTCTGTAGTGTACTCATATGTTATGCATCCTGCAATAGAATATGTCACGCAACTAATAACAATCCATGACATTGAAACAAGAACCTTATCTTTCTTTATGACGCCTGTCCTTGTTGAGAATTGCAACGCTGTTTTCCCATATCACTATTGTGGTTCTTCTTATATTAGATTCTATTTTAAGATATATACTATATACATTTACTTCTCGCAGTTACGACTAAATAATGTGCAGAAAAAGGAACGAAATTGACTATGACATTGTACATTTTCCTTCAATTTCCTTCATTCCATCAATTTAGCATAAAGAATAGATTAGAAGTATGTTTAAAATACCATAAATATAGACAAGAGATTGTCTCGTAACAATTCTTGAAGATTAGCTTTAATTATCCTAAATTTAAAAGTAGAAGCGTAGATATTTAATACTGTATTGCATACATGTCCCACCTACATATAATCCGTGCGTGGCACTTGACAATCCTATACCTATCAATTTTGAACATTCCATCGTGCTCTAATTTGTTTTACCAACAAACATTCCACGTGCAATCCACATTTAGTTCCGTTATTCCATGACCGCATTAATTTTGTTTATAATTTTATCATTATTTCCGTAAACATATTGATAGGAAATAGGTTTTTACACAGGCACTAGCAATAAGTCCTAGTATGAAAAAATCGATGTTTTTTTCATGTGTCATGCATAAACTATCTGTTTATTTTATTAGTTATTACCCACGGCTGCGTCTGCTTTTTTGAGATTAAAGATAGCCTATATCCATTATTGTCACGCAATCTCTATGTTTATGTCAAATTTCATGAAGATCTGCTCAGACGTATAATAGTATAAATGTTATAATATAAATATTTTCTTTTTTTTCAAAATAAACGTTTTTTAAATTGCACAGAATACTTGTAGAAACAGATGTTACAACGATGTTTCTGGATAAGTCTGGTAATATTTTTTATTACTGTTTATTTATGCCACTATCATATTTTTAATCGCACTGTACCTACACAAAGTAGGAAGGGAATATATTACTATATACGTAGATACCTAACAGTAGTATCTTACTTATACTTGTTATCCTTGAAGACTTGTGACAGTTAAATTATTCGAAAAATGTTAACTCTCTAAAATGTTGACAATGTTTTTAGGTCGGACTTAATCTCAAACAACTTCTTTGGTAAAAAACATGCTAAGTTATATTTAAAGACAAAAAGAGTTATTCAAAATGAATCCATTAAATATCTGCAATCACTTGTATGTACGATCATATACCAGTAGTTGTTCTTATCTTAATGTGGATTGTACAATGGACCATCTTATAAACTAAACACACTCCAGTACCACAAAACATTTCTTTGATATTACAAAATATTTGACAACATATTAATTCCTTGTCTATTTAGAATTATTTTCGACAATATTTTCCATTCCCAATATACTTTAATGCAAAATTGGCGCTTAATTTTACTCAATAATGTTCATTTAAAACATGTAACATGATAACTTTGTTGCAACATCAAAGAAATATTTTTAATTAAAATTTCACTTCATAAATGTCTATCTATAATTTTCTTCACAAAGGGACAATACAAATAGTACCTACCTACCTAGCTAATATCAAAAATAATACTTATAGACATCTATTTAAGTACGTCTAAATCATAGAAGTTGAAATTATATGATAATAATTGTACTATACAATAGAACATATATTTAATTTGGTGGCTTTCAAAAAGCTTTGTTATTTCATTTAATAAAGTACATATAATAATTCCGTTGTATTATGTGAAAATTGTGAAATATAATGATTTATATTCATGTGTACATTTCATACATAGTAAAAATAATTAGATACCTAATAATTGTAAATAAATATACAAAATAAGCTAGCTAAGATATAATAAGCTACAAATATAGTAAGGTAAATATGTACATACATATGAAGAATAAATACGGGAAGTCATTTATTACAGTTGGGCTATATAGGCTTTAAAATGTTAATTATAAACTTAACTTCTACATCTTTATTCTTACTTTAAAATATATGTCATTATCATTATTATCATTATATTTGTTGCGAAATTCTGAATTAAGAAATTATTTTATCAAAAATATCAGGCACTAAATTTCCTCTGTAGAGTTGTAGGTAAGAGTTCTTCCTACAAAGAAGTAAAGATGAGACACCAGTAAAACTATTATCTAACATTAAAAATATAAATGAAATGATGAGAAAAACGTTTCATAAGTTTAGCTTACTGTCAAAGTCGGCAAAATATTTATACATTCAATTGCGTCTAAAGGTGTAAGCGATACAACTGTCCAACTATTTTAATTAAAAACAATCTAAATAAAATGATTGTAGGTATATCATATAACGCAATGAATGAAATAAATATATGTATTAAGATTGTAGAAAGTATTTTACTATATAATCTTTTTTTAAACAAATTTCTCTTGTAGAATATCTAGTAACACTATTCACCCCCCACGTAAGAAATATATTTGGAGTTGGGGTGTTATTTGGAGGTTTTGTGGAAGCATTTGAAGAAAAACTCTACATCTAGACAAGTACATATATTGTTAATCAAAAGGTACCTACATAGAATAGATAGTATAGAAATTCAATTTAAATCGAAGGAAGAACATGATTTTAGCTTAGGTAAAGTTGCCATACCTATTAACTATGTAATACCTTAATACAACTTTTTACTAAGATACTCGCAAAACAGGTATGAAGAATTGTAGAATATTATCGTAGAGAATTAGTGATAATCTTTTCTTTATTACAAAACACCTATTGTTCTTAGAGAATGTAATATTGGTATAATATTCATAATTTTTGTAAATTTTAATTAAATCATATCGGAAGTAGGTTAGTAATCGTACCTCATAATTTATTATACTGATAGTAAATCTAGTTATCTTTATGACCAGAAATTTCCTCGATAAGATTATTGATGAACCGCGCGGTAAATTATGTACTTACAAAAATAATATAAACATTAATGACTAGGATACTTATACTACAAATGACTAGATTCACTCATCCATTTTCTTTTAATGGCTAGAATGTACTATACCTAGACTTAATTCTAGTGGACCTTTTGCACGTTGTGCAAAGATAACAAATATTTACTTTACATTAATTAAAAAGATATGTGTTATACTTTGAACCAAGTGTAATGAGGCCCTTATAATGTAAGTAAAGCGATATTATAGGATTCTATTAAACTTTTTTTATATAAAATCTTTTATTATTTCTAATATTATTATACATTTATACAATGGGTTTTTCTAGCTGTACTAATCTTATGATATTTTATCTGTGTCCACAGATATTTACAAGAGGCTCTTTTATTGCGGATATAAACACGTATACTATTCTATAGATTTTATAACTGGTAATACACTGCGAAACAGTAACTGCGTATATACCTAGTAGGCGTTATATACTATATGTAGGTAAACTTAATTTACCCGCTTCGAGATGTAGTATATTAAATAATATTGATAAGATGAGTTGTGTTATGAATTTAAATATTTATGTTGTTATCAACTGTATTATGTAAATTGTTATTTTTTATAATAGCGATACGATACACGCATTAATTATGTAACAACAAATTAATATATACACAAAATCGATAGAATAAATTATTAAACATATGTTTTAGTTTATATAAAGGAAATGCATTAACATATAATTTCTGATTGTCTATTATTTTCCGAAAACGCTACTTTTATTAATACGTGAAAATTAATTATTCTCACGAAACAATATAAAACTATCTTTTTTATGCGTGAATATGGGACGGCACACCCGCCTAACGATATACGTTGGCGGGGAATTAGTCGACGATGATAGGTTAAAGATGAAGTCAGGTCAGTTAGCCCATCGTGGCGTATTCAGCAGGAATTATCCACGTTGGTTTTCAGGGGTTAACGGCGTGAGAATCTACTACTTTATTATACACTCGTATTTAGTAACAATCTCAAATATTAGGTATATTTGTGAGTAACTAGTGGACCCGAAAGTGTCGTCCTGTCCGGACAAGCAGCGTCACCCACCGAAACCAAGTGGTTTCAAACAGGACACTATTGAAATACGCACACGATATTTTATCTAAATCGGTCCAGTAGGACAAGTTAGATGACAAATTAAGATAAGTACAGGATATAAATGAAAATCTATCTCATACCTAAGACAATATAAGATATTGCAAAAAATTATATAATGATATAAAATTAAAAGTTATATATATTTTATTTAATAGTCCTATAAATTAATAAACCTATCTACTTATATTAATATTATTTATATTTTAATAATAAGTATATTACTATACTTTTTTTTGTTAACTATTATCAAAACCACCGTGACCCGAATAGTATAAAAAAATCGATGATAGGCGACGTCGTTTCAAACGCCATCGAAAGCCTTGAGTGATTCATACAACATGTATTTTGACAGAGTACCATCTTTTTCGTATATTTCAATTATAATATATTTGATTATTAACGTTATTAGAAAAGTACAAATAATCTATGGTAGGTAACGAAAGGCCCCATTGTAAGCGCATCCATTCTGATGTTAAACTACCTTTTTCGATCCATTATAAAAATTACCTTAATTCAAAAAGTATAATAAATGTCTGGTTGTTTATATGGTTAGATACGCTCCTTAGCCTTAGTTGATTCCAAATATCAGTTTTTTCGTGTTTAAGAACTAATATACAAAAAAATGCCGTAAATCAAACATTACAAACAGTCGACGTAGTGGTCCCAAAGGCACCACGGAAAGCCCTGGGTTATACAACGAACTTGATACACCCACAACTGATATCTCACTGATTACTAATAAATTATTTCTTACACTATAATTTAGATTGTTAGTACCCTTGCCACATTTAATTTCAAAACTTTAACATGATAGTTTCGTCTTGGAAGACGCCCTTACCGCAGGCATCTGTGTGGAATGCGCTGATGGGCGTCGGCGTGGCTCAGGTGCACAGTCCAGAATTGTCTACTAAAGATCGCGCCAGCACATCGGCGGCTGCTATATCACTCACTTTACCTTCAAAGTGTCCTCTCACATGGAACATGAACTCGGCTTTGCCTGCAAATTCTTGCCTGCACATAAGACATAAGTGGTGTGCGTGTGTGTGCTGCCTCTCGGGAGCGTAGTGTGTGTGTCCATGTGTAAAGTACGCCCCTCCACTTCCACCCTCGTTTACAACAGTAGCGGTGGATACTGAGGCGGTAGCGATCCCGTGGCCGTTTAGAATTTGCTGATTCTGATTATGGTGATGTAATAATTGCAGCTTTTCTTGATTCGATAAATGGACCTTTTCTTGTTGCTGTAAGGAATTATTTTTTAAGGAATAAACGAAGTAATTTTTAAATTGGTTATTAAAAAAAAGAGTTCAGTTATTATTTAAAACATCTCGCAATGCTAGTGTCGTGAGTATCGAATGACGAGGTCATCAAGTAGATCGTGAGTTCGAATCCAATCGACATGAAAAAACTTTGTGTAAATATTATATTTCTGACTGACTGGGGAATAGTCCATCATGAGGACCGCTAAGAAATAACATTATTTGTGAGACGGCGGTATTAATGTTAAAATACAATAATCAGACATATAACATAATAAACAACTAACAGCAACCAAAGTAGTAGTAAGTAGTAAAAAATATTATTATAATTCCGTGGAATTGTATTTAGGAAGCACTCACCTGGTGTTGCGTGGCCTGTTGCATTTTATCTTGAAGTAGTTTATTGTCAGGTAAATGGGACTTGGCATGCGCACTCCACTCGTCCCTAGTGGCAAACAGTCGTCCGCATAGCTCGCAAGACCACGAGACCACCATACCAGCTGTGGCCGCCGCCACGGCCGCTGATGCAGCACTTGTGTGGACTAGGTTTGTATTCTTAAACAATATCAAACGATTGAGTATTATATTTTTCACGTTAGGAAAAATAGGTATTGACTGACGCTAGCTTTGATGTTTTAAATTTAGGTGGGTAAATCATGGTAGGCCATGCTTAAAAAGATGACTTTTTAATAATCGGCGTTACAATGAGCATGGCACTCCATGGTCGATCCACCTTATATTTTTTATTATAATAAAAGTAATATAATTTATTGTAATCACAAGTAAATAATCATAGAAACTTTATACAGCATCATCTAGTTCCAAACTAAGCAGAGCTTGTAGTATGAGCTAGAAACTACCAATAGATTTCAATTACATTTTCTATAAATACATACTCATGAATACAAATATTTTAATTAGACGGGGATCAAACCTACGGTCTTCGGTGTGCCAATCTGTGAAGCTGTTAATATCAAGTACTGTAGTGTAACTATAACAATATAATTACAGTACCCACTGACTACTTGAGTCTACCCAATAGAGTTTTTCTTTTTAATTGACTCTTAAACATCTTTTATAATTAAGTTGTCATAATACAATAGAACCTTCGTGATCTAATAAAATGAATAACTCCAATGAAAGTCAAGTTTGATGACAAGATATTAAGCTAGAATGTAACTAATTCAATATCCAGAACACGTAGATACAATTAAAGAAATGAAATGTATAATAACATAAAACAATACAGTCTTAATAAAATCATAATCAGAAAAAAACGTTTAAGACACGACTTTCATAACATAATTCTTTGAACAATGAATCGTTTGACAACAAACAGTGAATGATTCTGAAACAACAGAAAGA